TGTTGTGTGTGTGTGTGTACACGTGTACGTATATGTATATGTATATATATATATATATGTATGTATATATATATATATGTGTTTGTGTGTTTGTATGTGTTTGTATACATGTATGGTGGTGTTTCTTTGTGTGTGTTTGACTTTACAAGTGTAAACTTATAATTTTGTGTTTAAATGTAGAAGTTTGTCCGCCTTTTGAGATGTAATACCTGCCGACTGTGTATCATAATCAATTTGCTTTCAAGTGTTTGAGTAAGAACACTTAAATAATTATTATAATGGCACATGTATGCATGGAGTTTGTTATTTGAAATTAAGTTGTGTTAGTTTACCCCTGTAATCTTAAACGTATATTCATCGATTTTACATCTATAGTTGGTAGTCATTTGTGCTTTTGGGTTCTTCCGCTTTTATTCGTATGTACACTTATATGTATGAACTCGCATCATACATGGAACACGTTTCTAAGCATTCATACATGTAAACTACTTACAATTAGAGTCACGACGCAAACCAACCGATTGTCACATTCCAGTCCTTATCTGCCTGAATCTACCGAACACTACGTTGAATCTCATCCTTTGCACTGGGAGACAACACCTAAACGCATTCAAACGCGTTTGCTTTACATTCTTGTGCAGAAATAACACGGATGCTGTTAGCCAAATGTTCGACGGACGATGTCAATATTGGCAACGAAGCCCACAATACAGCGCTACACTGGGCAGCAATCAATGGCCATATCGATGTGGTCAAGGCGTTAGTGGAGGCTGGAGGTGACCCAGATGTATGTCCTTTCATCAGAGGTGTTTATATGTTTATAAAGATAGTACGCGACCTTATCCCACGCATGCTTGATAAGGGTCGCTTGCTTCATAAGGGTTCTTGATAAGCTTCAGCGATGGTGTCCCACCATACTGGGTAGAATATTGGTACTAGCATTGTCCTGGGGTTACTAGCACGTTTCTGAGGAAACCATAGGTTGCATGCCATACTAACACTCTTGGAGGAAACATACGTTGTACGCTATACTAACATCATCCTGGGTTGATATAGGTTACAATGCTGTTGCATGTTATGTATATTAATATATCGCAAGAAGTGTGTATTGTTCTGACCATCGTGGCGTTTGTTGTCGAGTATTCCGGAAATAAATGTCAAAGCGATTTGGAATATGTTTGTGACTTATACAAATGAACCCCAATCTTTTCAACCGTGATAGCAACCGTGATAGCAACCGTGACAGACCTTGTTTGTATCGAAGCTAAAGGTGGTCCGTGTGTGTTTCCGTACTTACACAGATCAAGAACGAGGCCGGTCATTCTGCCACGTTTGAGGCTCTGAACAACAATCACGAAGCCGTTATCACATTTTTAATTGCGCGCGAGGAAGAACTGGCGAAGAAAGGCGGAGAGGACAGTAAGCACAACACAATTTCAGCGGGCAAGACGGATGAGAGTACTGATACTCCTGAACAAGCAGAAAACACCGGGACATCCAGTAATTGAGCAGAATATCACATTGATAAATATAAACGAAAACAATCGTGTGGTTCCTCTGTGTTGTCTATTTCGAAGGAGATGGTATTATATCTGAATTTTTATTGTATACTAATGAGATTTTCTTATACGCATTGGTATATACAATCACCAAACATATACTCTAATATGCTATTTATTTGCTTCCATATCGATAGATATATATAAACATGTGATTCGCGCTCAAACACACACACATACACGCATATGTATATATATATATATATATATATACGTGCTGCATGTGTATACGTGTGCACACGTGTTTGTGTCTTAGTCTGGGTCTATGGGTGAGTGAGAGAGAATTCTTATATATGTGCACACATGCATGCAAATATTAATATTTATATATAAATTTCATATGTATGATTTTGTTGTTTATCCTTCAAATGAAAGGAAGGAAACGTGCGCAACTTTAGTTGCGCGTTAATGAGTCACGGATTGTGTTCCCGTCTTGCTCTCCCGAAGAAACTCCTCAATACTCATGTTTGTCGTCGGTTCCAGTTGTTCGACCTGTTGTGCATTTTCAAATAAGAATTCCTCCATGGTTAAACTCAAACTAGATGGTACTGTATCGGCTAAGGGATTGGAGGCTAAACTGGTGTTTCCTCCCTTCATGCCATCCTGCGCGCTGTTGTCATTGCCATCGTCGTCACCACTCTCCTTCTCGCACGCTTTACTTTGGGTAGTGTGAGATGCACTAGCTTTATTTGATTTATGAGTCGATTTCTCCGACTGAAGATTCTGCTTAAACGACGTTGAGTTCGTTCAGCCTTGGGTGTAGGATTGACAGGGACTAATATACGGGTATCCTCCTTCCTTAAGGATTAATGTATGCCAGATCGTGAGCGAAACAGCAAGCCGGCAGTAACCTTCGCCTCCTCGAAGTCACAATCAGTGTTCCGCTCACTGGATTTGTCAATCAATGGCTCAGGAGGCAGATGTACCAGAGGCCGGCATTTTATACCAGCTTTTGACTTGGCACTGCACTTCCGCGATAATGTCTTGTTAACGGCCTTTTCTGATGCGGCAGGGTTGCGATTGTTGGTCAGGGTAGTAAGTTTCGTAGACGATTTTGAAGGATGTTGTTTCAGTTTGAATTTTCTGCCAGAAGCATTTGAGCTTAGTCCGAATACAAGAGTGTGCGTCTGCAACCCCGAACCCTTATCATTGCAAACTGTATTTGCCTGTTGCTCATTTAGTACTTGTTTATCAATTACAAATCGTTGTTGAGCTACAGAGTGACGAGTATACGCAGTTGGCCTCTTTACTGGATGTACTCGCTCATAGCTCACAGCCCGTGTTGCTGGCATGTGATCTGGTTCTGATGTCTCGCGTGCAAATTCGGCAATTGTTGTCACAAACCGTTGTTGCTCTCCGTCCATGCTCTCATTCTGTGTTATGAAGTCATTCTGTAGATCATATTGAGATAGTAAATTTGAAATAGGTGCACTCATCCCACGATCACTAAGCGAAAAACTTATTCTTTTACTTACAAGCCTGTCACTCTCCTGCCATGTGCGATGCTTCATATCAAGAACATTGTGGACTACGGTACATTTTACGGAATTTCGCATGCTTCGATACGTCTTAATCGCACCTTCAAACTACAAACCGTCATCTACGATTTTAGCCATTGTTTGTTTCAAACACGATACTGTTTGTTCGAGCTCACCATCATTGTTGTTTGTTTCTGCGTATTCCCAAATGGTAGGATATTGCGAATCTCCAGCCTTGTCAAAACGGTCGAAATTAGCCAAACTTCCCATTCTATCTGTCTGGTGTGACATTTTGTCAACCATGCTCCCGCTGTCTATACAAGGCCGCTAAAGTTATTATTCCAAACAAGCTGTATGAAAGTATTGTAAAGTATATGATATCCACCGGATCCATACAAATATACTATATAGCAATTGTTTCCTAATACTACTCTAGAAAGAGACGGCTATTTAATGCCTGGAGATTCACACTTCAATATTTGTTCAATGTTCGCAGCTGTTGTGTAGTTTATACATATTGAAATCTTTGAAGATGCCTGAGTTGGTACAAACAATAAACTCACATATCGTGACGACATTTTATAAGACATTTAGGTCCACGATAAGATGTCATTACTGTCATAGGGTCCGCTGGAGGCTGCATCGGCATAAATCAATATCATATATTTAACTGAACGACATGTCGTACATAATATGTACTATTCAGATATCGCCGCGACATTTTTCCATGCTCTGGCAATGAAATTCAAATCACTATCAGCAGACATTTCTTCAAGCATAGTGACCTTTTATAGAAAACAAATCTATGATGGGGATTGGGGAGTCATAGATTTTAGTATGTACAATTGGAAAGAGAGAAAGAGTCAAAGAGAGTAACACATATTTGTTTTTTACTGTACAAATACAAAATTGTACATACATAGTGATAGTAGTAACAAGAGTAAGTAGATTAGTAGACTCGTTATGTAGTCGCGACATAGAGTACATACTATGTAGTAGAGTACGAGTAGAGAGTGTCACTCTACTCTCTTGAGTAGTAGAGAGTCTACAATTACAATTTACACTATTTTACAGTCTATCAGTATGACAGATTGACAGTACATATGTATGTACATACATAGCTAACTATAGTGTATACAGTATCGCATATGTCGTATAAGTTCGTTGCTCGCAACTCCTTGAAGTATAAACATGTCTCTAAATACACGACTGACTAGTGACTACACTCTACAGTCTACACTCTACAGTAGACTGAGACTCTATTTTTAATTATTTTTAATTACACTCGTCACATACAGTCCGCGACTCGCGAGTCTACAGTGTACACAGTACACTCGCACCATAATATGCTGCAGCGCTGCTCTACATATAGAGGTTACTGGCTCGAGAGTTATATGTATTTACTGTCAGTGAGTCAGACAGTCAGTGAGATAGACTGATTTAGAGTCTGACAGAGTGATTGTAGACTCTCGACTCTCAAAGAGGAGTGATATATTTATTTAGTCTCGCATATTTATTTAGTCCCGCAAGCCGCACTCCGCAGGGCGCAAGCGGAAGAGAGTTACGAGAATATTGAGTAAACTATTTTTTAAATAGTAGAGAAACGTCCTACATGTTCAGCCATATTTTCTTTCTTCTCTAGAGAGGGAAACAATGACTATATATATAAAGGTTGTGTCGTACGTCGCTGGGATTACGTCACGACTTCTATCCTATAAATTCCGTAGTATGTACTAAATTTCTGAGCACCGATTTGATTTAATATTATTTATAGTGTGTGGCTGTGTCCGAGTGTGTCGTACATATCATCAGACTTTTATAGTTCTAGTGCCATCAAATTCAAAATTGTCAAATCATGTGCGTGAAGTTTTATATATCATCATTTCTTCTTTTTCTTTTCAATGTTTTTTTCGTATTCTATTGCTATATATGTTTTTAAAAAACAATAATTTCAATACATGTACATTCGACTGTAAATACATGCATAAGTACTTTATCTTCTGAAAATCATATTTTAAAAAATCATAAATAGAAGGGCGAGAAACCCATATTTATTTACCGCCTAAAAAAGAACAAGAAAACAATATTTATAAATATATAAAAAGTCAAATATGAAGAAAAAAATTCTATAAAATAATTAAGTAGTTGTATTTTGGTAGTATTTATGTACAGTGTGTATGTATGTGCAACTATAAATGTACGTACATAAAATACTGTAAATATGTACATATGTTTTTAAAACAAAATGTTTTTTTTATAAATAAAATGCGCATGATGATCCTATGACCAATCGACCACATGTAGCCTTCTAAAATCTAAATTGACATGACCCCTCCGGCCCCGGGCCATCTCTGGACTCTGGGCCATACCATCACCAGGGCATCCCGACTCCCGAGTCTCGTACATCCCCCCTGGACTGTGGAGTGTGGACTGTGGAGTCGTAGAGTCGTCGAGTCATCGACCCGTTATCACGTATCACCGACACCATTTGCCAAGAAATTTCCAACGACGATATTTTATATTGTCGAATGTATCTGTACAAACAACGTAAATATTTGCCCACACCAGTCGGTCAGTCAGTGACAGTCACCAAGACCAGTAGAGATGACATGACATCCATTTGGTGTACATATTCGATTATATGTATGGCTTCGTTATGATTTTCAGACCTTTGTAATTGTACTTTTATAAAAGCACAATTTAAAAAAAACCACAACAATTGTATGGTAATCGTTAGTGGGTGAATATGTATTTAGTAAGTTTTGTCTATAATAGGCACAGGAAACGCGATTGAACTTGCAATCGATGACTATGTAGGCACATCTCATGGCGTAAACGCACTTTTTCTTGACATTAGCAGCTGAAGCTTGTACTATGGTTACAAGATTGATCGATATTAGTACGTGACAATATTTTAAAATATGCTATGCATCTTTAGACCCTTTAATTCCGTTTTGGAGGTTTGCGATGTAGTGCTAATGTGTCTCAAGCATAGAAGGTATCCTATTCGTGCTACGACTGTGTCGCTTTCGCGGAGAATTTAGAAAATTCTTCATCTTGAAATGTGCCAAAAAAAGAAAAATTTATATTGGGAATATTTTTTAAAACACAAATCCAGATAAATATATCAAATCTCATACATAGTGACGGCCTTCTATTTAAAATTATCCAGAGAAGAAGGCTATGCAAATCTAAAAAAAAGAAAAAGTAAACAATGTTTAAAAATACATATGTGTTACAAAAAATGTGGAGCCAAATTCGTATTGCCCACTTGAAATCCCCTTTCCGCGCTCTGAAAATATTCACGCAACGTCAACAATAAAGGTCACAACTCTCAACTCACAATGTCACAGAACACACAATCCATAGCCCTCTAAAAGAAACACACAATCACATGTGAAAAGACTGTGCACTACTTAGTTATTTCCCATCCTCCTTCATTGAAACAGGTGAGCTAAGTATTTGTGTCCCAATCTGGATAAGCAAGGTATCCAGTCTACCTTTTGGGTGCGTCCATATGTATGTTTGTCGTATGTATGTATGTATGTATGTATGTATATATGTATGTATGTAAATAGGTATGTATATATGAATGTATGTATGTATGGCTGTTTTTATACACTTATGTATGAACATATGTAAATATATATGCATTTATGTATGTATGTATGTATGTATGTATGTATGTATGCATGTATGTATGTATGTATGTATGCATGCATGTATGTATGTATGTATGTATGTATGTATGTATGTATGTACGTATGTATGTGTATGCATGCATGTATGTATGTGTGTATGTATGTATGTATGTATACATGTATGTATGTATGTAGCATGTATGTATGTATGTATGTATGTATGTATGTATGTATGTAAATAGGTGTATGTATGAATTACGGATGTATGTATGTATGTATGTATGTATGTATATATGTTTGTATATATATATATATATA